GACTGTATAACAATGAAAGAACTTTTTTTCCCCCAAAGAAAAAATGAATGGATAGGGAGAAAAATGTGCAACAATGAATGAATAGAAATCTGGGGGACAGATGGACGGGGGGACACACACACACACACACGCACACATGCGTGACTGTATAACAATGAAAGAACTTTTTTCCCCAAAGAAAAAAGTGAATTGGGGGAGAGGGGAATAGGGAGAAAAATATGCAGCATTGAATGAACCAAGTTCTTTATAAACTTTTCATTAAAATCTAAAAAAAAGAACATGAATGTATTTGTCTTTTTTTATTTTTTAAACATAATACAGGAACTTGGATACAATTAGTGTTGCTGTTGACTTGCTGCTGCTTTTTCGTGAACTGCAAACGGAACAGGAATCTTTGCTGACAGGTAACATGCAGTATACTTTATAGCTTACCAGTAGTTTTGTAAAAAGAGCTTAAAGTAGTGTTGTTAGTAGTACATAATTTGTGAAGCTTGTGTTCTGTATTTCACGAGAGTAAGAAACTTCAGTAATAAAATATTAATGAATTCACACGTAAGTATGTTTCAGCCATCCTTTCCTTCTGCCTTCAGTATTTATGAATGGAACCTGATGGAGCCTGCTGTGGGGTCAGATGTGACCGGTGCAGTGACCAACCAGGCAGGAAACTGCCCTCCGGGAGCTTATGTTCCAGTGAGAGCAGCCAGTCTATAGTGTGATGAAGAGTTACATGTGTATTAAAGCAGAAAGGGAGCTCTGCGTTCTCATGGTTTCGATGCAGTACTAAGGAGGACGCCACGTCTTCTAATGAAGACTGTGAAGTTTTTCTAGACGTTCTGGAAAGCTTGCTGTTGCTTGCACTGGGATTGCCCACATTGACTGTAGCTGAATAGCTTGAAGCCAGTAGGCACAGAGACTAACACAGAGGAGAAATGGGCAAAAACACCCCCGACCTGGTTACCTCCTTTATGCTCTGTGAGTTATCAGTGTGTTTATTCCTTCCTTCTCTAGAACGCTCACATATTTTATTTGGGAACTTTTTTTTTTCAGTGAATGCTGTCATCTGAGGATTTATACATGAAGTAATTTCTCTGAGCTTCTTTGAATGGCAATTATTTCTTGAGTGTTTTCTAGAAATTGGCAAAAATACAGGATTTATTTGTAAAATGTTTTTTGAGCTACTTAATGAAAGGTCTTTTTTAAATAACTATTTTACAAAATAAAACTTTAGTGCTTAGAATTAAGAGATGAAAATCAGTAAAATAAAGGTTTGTTGTGGAAAGGCCACTCTTCTTGAAGTCTGTGTTACACAGTAGTTCAGTCAGAAAGTTCCACGTGGACTTCATTTTATCCTTGCTGAGAAAGAAAGGCTGTGCTGGATGGTGTGTCACTGGCAGATGCCGGGGAGCTGTGCTGGGAGCAGTAGGTGTCCCTCTTACTGACGGCTCCCTAAAGCAGCAGCGCACCCACTGTGGTTAACTCGGTCAGAGCAGAGTCCGCCTGCTGCGTCCCACCCCTGCTCCGGACGCTGCTTCTGAAATGACCCCCTTGCTCTCCTGAAGCATCAGTTTTCCCCGTAGTGCCATCTTTCTTCAGCATATTATGCGGTCTCTTTTTTCTGTGAAAAACACCTACCTGGGGTGCATGCCTCCTCAGTCCATTTTCCTTTTCTTAGCTCTCATGCAGACTTGCACCTTTTACAAAATAGGATAAACGGATCAGCCTTCTTTCACTCTTCCTTTTCTCTTTGCAGCGGCTCATCTAATAACAATGTGGAAGGGCAGACCTGAGTGGGTTTTGGTGGACGCTGCTGGGCATTGATGAGGGAAGTCATGGCTTGGTGACACTGTTCATTGGCATTTCCCAGTCATTCCTTACAGGCTGGCTGGTGGCTGGTGTCCGGAGACTCGTTGGCAGGTCGAGTAGTTGCAGGCATGTTTATTTAATTTTTATCCACCTTGCTGAGGCATTATTGACACAGTTTACATACATGGACGCATTTCCACAGATTACATAAGATTAGCCCTCTGTAAGTGTCTAGGATACCGATTTGTGGTGAATTTATGGAGCTGTTCATTGTTTAACTCCTCTTGATTTTGGCCTGAGCCCATCCAGGACCCTACTCGTCTGCAGCTCTGATGTTCAGATTGTGTCTTAGAGCTCTCAGCCTGACTGCAGATCTGCGAACTTGACCTCATGCCGAGCGCAGTGAGGGGTTTTCATGGAGCTTTTATGTGTGATGGGAGGACTGCATGTGAAGCGTGCGTGGCTCCAGGAGCGTTTATTAGAGACTGTCCTTCCTCCACCAGATCACCTGGGCCGCTTTCTGACAACAGTCTCTGAAAGGGGCCTTTCTTTGAACTCTAGGGGCCCGTTCCTTTGGTGTCTATCCCTGCTGTGCTGCTCACATGGTGTCTTGATGACTACTTTTACTGCGGTACATTTGAAATTGAGAAGCGATGTTCTTTTTTTCTAAACTGTTTTGGTGAACATGACTCTGGCATTTCTGTTAATCTGATAGGTAGTCAATTCCTGCAGAAAAGGCAGGTAGAATTTTGTCAGCAATTATTTTGTGTCTGTAGGTCAGTTTTGAGAGAACTGCTATCTTGATTTTCTTGCCTTATGACCAGTGTTGAGGCTTTCAGTTAATAATCATGGTCTGTCTGTCTCTTCACTTAGAGGTATTTTTAGATTTGAGTTGGATCGCTGTTGAGTAGGTGACTGGTGCGTGCAGACAGAGTTGGAAGGTATTATTAGTTGAGCAAGGAAAATATAAATGAAGTGCTGTTTCTCATCACCTTCTTAGAAAAACCAAACTAGCCCTACTGTGATTTCCAATTCATAGTGACCTTGAACTGCAGGGTACAACTACCCCATGTGGTTTCCCAGGTGGAATCTTTGCTGCCAGGTTTTTTCCTCATGGAGCGGCTGATAGGTTCAAGCCACCACCGGTCAGCAGCCAAATATTTTGACCTATTGCACCCCCAGGGCCGCTTTCTCTGGGGGAGCCTCTGACAGAGTGGGGTTGCTCAGACCGAACGCAGGCCCTCTTGTAACAACTCTTCTGCTTCCTGATAAAACGTCTGCGGTATCTTGTCACTCTTGCTCACGTAAAACTTTCTTCTGGCTGGATTTTTAGCAGGATGGCTGTGCCAGTTTTTCGTTACCACCCTTGAGGTAAGAGCTGTAATTACATTGTCAAAATAATATTTAGAGTATTATTTCAGGGAATAATTGCAGTGGTGTGACGAATATATTAGGCTCATCAAATTTATGTAAACACAAGCCTGAGCTATTTTAATTGAGTTATTGGTGTTGTTTTTGGCCTTTATTCTTTTCTAATCTGTAAAAATAATGTTGGCATTTTTGAGGAGCTTTGTAACGTTTGCAGTATTTACATAAAGATCAGTTGATAACCGGTTTGGTAAAAAATAAACTGTCATTTGTACTTGTCTGGAGCTTGCACTGTGTTTCTAGGCCATTGAACCCTTCCCTCCCCACAGCTGTTTGGACCTTGTGTCAAGGTGCTGACTGGGTCGTTTGACTTTTGGTCCTGCGAGATTGTTAGATTGGTGTGTAGTAAGTGAAACTTCACAGGATTTGAATGTTACAGCCTACAGTGTGCAGTAGGTAGTGTTTTTCTTTTCTTTTTTAAAATCTGTAGGCTATCTGAGTGAAAAGGAATTATTTTTTAAACTATTAATTTTCCTATAAATAGTTTGCAATTCCAAAACTCCTGACTAGTTGACAGAAATCTCCGTCACTATGTGTTCACGTTGCAGCAGACAGGCACTTGGCTTTTGGCTTTTGCCTCTTTTTGGCCTTGCAGTGCTGTAAGCTGCTTTTTTGGTTTAGATTACAATAACAGAATTCAGGTTTGAGGCTTTAGGCTTGTTTTCTTTAAAAAATTATGATTTGAGTGAAAGTTTATGAAGTAAATTGGTTTTCCATTCAACCATTTGTACATATTATGTTTTATAGCATTATTACAATTCCCACAATATAATGTCCTCTCCCCACTTCCTCTCTGTAATTCCCTTAATAATCCTTTCCTCCCCTTTCCTCCCTCGGGGCTGTTCGCCTTGGGCAGGGCTGCTCTTTTAGCCTTATATGGTTGGTTATTCCAAGGAGTGAGTGCCTCTGGGTGTCATTAATCACCTTATAGGCTTATGTTTTAACGCACAGAAGCCAAAGCATAGGGAAGAAATGCCAGGTGAGAGAACCTAACAGAAGATATCAAAGGGCAGCTCAAGAAGACAAAGCAAAGTGCTAAACAAAATGTGCAAAATGCTGGAATTAGAAAACCAAAAGGGAGCATAGAGAGGGGACTGCCAGAAGTTCAGGCAGGATTTAGAAGAGGCCGTGGCACCAGGAATATCACTGCTGTTGTCAAATGAGTCCTGATTCAAATTAAAGAATACCAGAAGAATGTCTGTTTATGCTTTATTTACTGTGCAGAGGCATTTGACTGTGTGGATCACAACAAGTTCTGGCTGTCATTGAATTTGAGTCCCAGAGCACTTAATCGTGCTCTTGTGGAACCTGTACCTACACCTGGAGGTAAGAACAGAGCAAGGAAACATTGCATGGTTTAAAAATTAAGAAGGGAGTGTGTCAGGGTTGCAGTCTCTCTCCATACGTATTCAGTCTGTATGCTGAGTAGATTATTCAAGAAGCTGGACTCTACATACAAAGAGGAATGTGGCATTAGGATCAGACGGAGACTCATCGATAAACTGTGTTGTGCAGATGACCCCACCTTGCTTGCTGAAAGTGAGGAGGACGTGAAACTCTTCTTGTAGAAGATGAAAGAATATAACCTTCAATATGGATTGCATCTCACTGTCAAGAAAGCAAAGATTTTTGCCACTGGACTGATAGCCAGCATCCAGATAGACAGAGAAAAGATTGAAACTGTCAACAACTTTATCTTACTTGGATCCACAGTTAACACCCTTGGTACCAGCACTGAGGAAATCAGGAGACTGACTGCACTGGGAAGGTCTGCAGTTAGGGACCTCTCCAAGTTAATTTTGGTGCATTGATGTTAGTTTGAGGACAGAGGTGTGCCTGATCAAGGCCATGGTCTTTCTGATCACTTGCTGTGTATCTGAGAGCTGGACAGTGGCTAAGGATGACAGAAGAAGAATTGTTGCCTTTGAGCTGTGGTGCTGGAGAAGAACACTAAACATCCCATGGACGGCCAAAAGAAGAAATGAATCTGTCTTAGAGACGGTGCAGCCAGAGTGCTGCCGAGGCTTTTCTTCACATGCTTCGGGCGTGTTACCAGGAGGGGCTTATTTCTTGGAGAAGGACACGATGCTCGGAAAGGTCAGTGAAGGAGAGGTAGACCCTTGACCAGATGGATTGAGGTGACTGCCGCAGTGGGTGGCCAGGAAGTGTGAGGATGGCACAGGACAGGACAGGGTTCAGATCTGGTTAGGGTCACTGTGGATTGTACTCAGCTTGATGGCACCTAACGACAGCAACAATGCCAGCATGGTAGCAGCAGTTAGGAAATCAAAAGATGTGCTTGTCCTGGGAGAATCTGCTGCCAAAGACTTCTCGAGAGTTCTAAAGAGCAAGGATATCCGTTTAAAGACTTCAGGTATACCTGATCCAACCTGTGATCTTTTCGGTTGCTTCCTGTGCATCTGAAAGTTGGACACTGAAAAAGAAAGACAAGAAAAATCAGTGCTTTGAATTGTGGTGTTGGAGAAGAGTATTGCATTTCCCATGGACTGCCACAAGAACAAGCAAATCTGTCTTTGAGGAAGTACAACCAGAGAGCGCCCTAGGGGCCAGTCCTTGGGAAAAGATATCAGGCCTGGAGAAGGTAGAGAGGCAGTAAAGAGACAAAGATCTTTAAGGAAATTAGTTGACACAGTGACTGCAACAGTGGACTTGAGCAGAGATAGGGCAGAGTTCCAGGAGGGATTTGTTTGTGTTTCACATTCAGAGGGTGACTATAGTCTTGGAGTCCACCAGTCTCTGTTGAACCAGTAAGGCTGACCATGTTTGTTTCTGAGTTCTGTTTCACACATTCTCCCCTCAGTCCAGGACGTTTTACCATAATCCATTGTAGAATGGATCACACATTTTTTTATTTCAGTGTTTTGATTTTTTGTGTGCAGTCTGTCTTTTCTGCAAAAAGCCAGTTACTGTTCTGAAAGAAGCCAGAGTGCTCCTTCGAAGCAAATGGTGAGCCGTATCTCACGTTCTCTGGGTGTGTTATCAGGAGAGGCCAGCCCCGGGAGAGGGATGTTCTGATTAGCTGAGTATCAGGTCAGCAATGGAAGGTCGCCAGTGAGCTGGATTGATGCAGTGGCTGGACCAGAGGATTTGAGCACAGCTGAGGTTGTGAGGGTGGCTCAGGCTTGGGCAGGGCTGTGCTTGACCAGCAGCCGAGTCAGGGTGGCTCGATGGTGCCAGCGGCGGCAGCAGCATCTCCGCCGTGTGAAGATGAGGGGCAGCCCTGCTGAGAGCTTGGGGTGCCTTGTCTGCTGTCCCGTCTGGTCCAGTCCATCCTGACTCACATCAGCACCCTGAGAGCGAGTCCAGCTGGGCGGGCCACAGGGTTTGTGTACTTAATTGACCTCTTTCCTGAGATGCACATATCCTTGCGCTCCGACCTACTGGTTCGTAGTTGAGTGTTTAGCCGTTTGTGACCCCAGGAAATTATTCTGAAATGACCTCCTTAAAAAATCTCCAGTAGTGATTTTTACCTTAAAGTTTATTAAGCCTAATTTTAACTGTTTTATGACTTCCTTTTTGGCCCGTGTTTGTTTGTGTAGTGTGACTTTTTTCCATTATTCACTATTTCTACTGTCTTATATGATGTGCGTTTTAAATAGTAAGTAGTTAGATTTTTCAAAATTTAGTCTTAGAATTAATATCTTTCAATTGCTGTTTGTATCCTGTTTATTGTAATTACATGTATATATATGTCTACATCAGTGGTTTTATTTAAGAAGTGAGTTAATTTCATGGAGCATACATTGTTTTGGTGAAGCCTTTTAATATTAATGTCAAGCGTGGATAGAGACTTTATAGGTTGAAGAAGAATATGGAACCCTCTGTTTAGTAACTCAGGGAATGTTAGGCTTATTTGCTGAGTATTAAAAACCTTTTCTGCATCTTTTAACTGCTGGTTTTGCTTTGGTGTGTTCTCAGCCTTCCGCTGCGGCCTCCAGTTCTTAGGCAACGTCGCCTCACGAAACGAAGAGTCCCAGACTGTGGTGTGGGCACATGCTTTCCCAGAACTCTTTTTGTGAGTATATTGACGAGAATTTTCCTAACCTCTGAGAGGTGGTGGTGGTTTCACCCCGTTGAAACCAGGGGAACCTCCCCTGTGGGGAGAAGCCAGTGTCGAGTTCTTCCTGGCAGTGCCACGCAGGGCAGGCAAGCGGGCGCTGTGGAGACCCGTGTTCTGTGTCTTCATTGGGTGGTGGATGGCTGCACATTCCTAAAACTTCGTGCAGCCTTGCACATTGTTGGTTAGTTTTACTTTAGTGAAGAAGTAAAAATTATGGTTAAAGGATGAATGATATCAAAGACTGATGTCGATGAGACAAAATGTAAATGTAAGACATTGGAATTAGGCTAATGTAAAATTAAAAAGTCTCACGCCCCACCTCCCCCCAGCAGACCATCACTGAGTCAGTTCTCACACCCAGTGATCTGATAGACTCTGAGGCTGTGACTCTCCCCGAGATCACACTGTCCCGTCTTCTCCTGGGGGGAGCAGCTTGTGGTTTTCACTGCTGACTCTGCCATTGGGCAGCAGTTCATTGGCCCTTTATGTGTCGACCCCTTTATTGGACCTTGATCTTTTTCCTGGTGATGTACTTCTTCCCCCTATCCTGATCCAGCTCTACTGGTTTGTAAGAAATTGAGTGTTGAGACATAAAGAAGTGTTAGAAACAAGATAGATAAAAACATGGAGGTCATTGGAGTGGGAGGGCTGGACGCTTTCTTATACAGGCTCTGTTGCCAAAGCACAGAGTGACTTCAGTGGTGCCAGCAGCTGCTGTCCAAATGCCACACATTGAGTCTTACCAGTAGCCCTGCAAGGGAAGTGACATCGTCCTGTCTTGACCAATGAGAATGAAGCTTATGACGGTCAGTCGCATAACGGGATGAACTTGCTCACTGGGTCCTCAGCCTCTGCTCTTAACAAATACCATGCTGTTATCGTTGACTTTGTGGTTTTTCTGGGCCCACCTGCTGTACAGCATGGGAATCAGTCCTGTGGTCTCTAATGTTCTTTCAGCTCTGTGACTTGATTGCCTGTTACATTCCAGCAGCTGGCGAGAATTGCATGTATAGAAGTACCTGTTATCCTTATGTCTAGAAAGAATTTAATGGTTGAATCTAGAAATACTTTTGAATTTAGGTAGATGAGGCAGGGATGGATTCAAGCTTCACAAAAAGCTTTGTCTTGGGATCCATTCCTTTAGAGCATTTTGGGTGCCTGGTGTCTGCCAGATCCTGTGCTGTTGAGTTGGTGGGAGCACACTGGTCATTTAGATGCATCCCTTACCTCCCGGGAGCCCATGCTTGGAAGGGACATGTGAAGAACAGGCAGTTCTTTCTTCTCTACCGTAGTGTAGGAACAAACAGAGCTGGGCGCATCCAGGGTGCGAAGAACAGATGAGGCCTTTGAATACGTATCGGACAGTGCGGGGAGGCTGATAGTTCATGTTGTGGTTTTCCTGTTCCTTTCATTCTGTCTTCACTGAAGCTCTGTGAGAGAGAGGCAGAGAAGACCTTGTACTGCATTCTTTCTCATGCTGAAAATGCAGTGACAGAGACGAAGTGGCTTCTCTGTGTTTGTGAGACATGAAACCAAACATGAATTCCAGCTGTGGCAGGGACGGCTTTTATGTCACTGAGAAGTCACGTGAACTCAGTGTCTCGGGGCCTCCGTTTCCACCATCCTTGGTGGTGTAGCACCTGCTTACTCAGAACGGCCTCTCTGATGAGCACGTTCGCGGGAGAGACACGGACAGTCTTGTCTTCTGTTTCATTTGCAGCCTTAGAAACCCAGTAACGGGTCAGCTCACAGGCAGGAAGGGGGTTTTATCTGGAATATGGAAGTAGAAAGAGCTTCCTGCAGAAGACTGCTAGGACCTTGAAAAAGACAGGAAATCCCGTCAGGAGGTGGGACCCATGGAAATGACCGTTGACAAGTCAGAGTCTGTCTTAAGTCCACACACAACTGAAAGGTAGATGAACCAGCACTGGTTTTCAAACTCCTGACTCCGGTTGTTGTTTGAGGCGTTCTGTCCCTTATCTATAGAGCAGGCAGGGCCTGGGATCACTAAGCTATCAATTTTTATTTTTATTTTTATTTTAGCTATCAATTTTTATCCTCTTGATTTTTCTCTTTAGTGAGAATGAGACATTCCTGCTTTATAAATGTAATAATTTCCTCTTTTTTTTTCTAATTAGAAGCTTTTATTTTGCCTTTTGGTTCTAAGGCATGAGAAAACTAGAACATTAATATTGAATAGTTTTTATAATGAGTAATTTTATGTCTTTCTGTTTTGAATTCACTCTTCCTGCAGTATATAATGTGCTTACTTCAAGTGTTGTGGTTTTTGTTATATTCTTAAAAATATCAGCGTGTATAGTATGTTTGTTAATGAGATTGTTATTATTTACATTAACTCATGCTCTGTAATGCTGCTCAGTGAGCTAAGAATTGAATTTTCTTTCTTTTAAAGTACTTGCTTGAATCATCATGACAAAAAGATTGTTGCCTACTCTGCAATGATTATGTTCACAACGCTTAATCTTGAGAGAATGACGGAGCTGCGGGAAAACCTCAACGTCGCCATTGGTGTCCTGGAAGCCCACCAGACGCAGCCCGAGTCGGAATGGCCGTGAGTGTCAGCTCAGAGGTGGGGCGCTCCGGAAGCTCCTGGCAGAGTGCTTTCTCTGCAGAGTCTTCACAGTGCTGTTTTCGTGAAAGCAATCATACTCTTGCAGTGTTGATCCGTAGACAAGGGCTGCCCTCAGGAGCTGCAGCCTCAGGGAGATGAGCTGCGCAGGGAAAACTCGGAATTCAGAGCATTGAACTGGAACTTAGAACTTACACCTGTGGGCAGAGGCAGAACTTGGGGTCAGTGAAAGAGGAGGGGCGGGAGGCTTGAGGTGGTCTCCAACCTTGAGGTGGTGGGGAGGAAAGGGAGGGCGTTCCTAGTGTGAGCAAATGAGCACACAGACGTAGGGTGGCAGCCCCTTTGGGGTGAGATTAGGCCATTGTGGCAGCGGAGAGTGCTAGCTGACCAACATAGGTGGAGGGTGAAGCTGATTGCTGTCCACACATTTCCCTGGAGAGGATGTGTCCTTCCTCCTGGCTCTCTGAACGTTTTCCATGGTTAATCATATTAGCGCGGATTTTTTTGGGTTTCTCCTGTCTGGGGATCCCTGGGTGTTAACTGTAGTTCACACACTTACCGGTACCTTCAGGAGTCATCTCCCCATCCTCAGAATGGCCTGTGTTCCTGGGCCTGTCTCCTTCTGAACTTTGTCCTCAGTCTCCAGTGTGCCCTTCCCCAGAATGGCATGCATTTAAATCAGGCATTATGTAGCATTTGTAGGCAGGCCTCTTTCACTTTACAATGGGGCGCTTATGCTTACTCCTTATCTTTTAATAGATCCATAGCTCATTTCTTTCCTTTTCTCCTCTTGTTATTGTTGTTGTTAATGTGTCTTCAAGTCACCTGCAGCTCATAGCGATCCCCTGTGTACAGCACCTCTGAAACCTGCCCTGTCCTGAGGCAGTCCCATTGACTCTGATATGCCTACCCCCATTTCTCCAGTTACTGTATCAGTCCATCTCATCTGGGGTCTTCCTCACCTGAGCTGTCCAGCCACCCTTCTAGGCATGACCAAGGACCGGTCTCTTCTGACTACTTGCCCAGAGTATGTAAGATGGAGTTTCAAAATCCTAGCCTCCAAGGAGAAACTTGGTTTCACCCTCTCCATGACAGACTTATTTGTTTTCTTGGTGGTCCATGGTATGATCAAGACTCTTCTCCAGCACAACTCAGAGGCATCAATTCTTATTCATCATCCTTAGTCATTATCCAGCTCTCCGATGCAGAGCAAATAATAGTGAAGACCGTGCACTGTTAAGAATATATATAGCGTAACATGCCCCAGTTACCTCATGCACAGGTTAGTGACTCTGTGTACATACTAGTTAAGCTACACCATTGCAAGATTTTATGAAATAGTTGGGAAATATTTTTGGATTAAAACTGAAAGATTCTCTCAGGGCAGTAGTTTCAGGCATTCATTAATCTTCCAAGGCTCTAGCAAGTCTAGAGTGCATTTTGTTGGTTCCATCAAGTTGAGTACAACGCATGATGACTCTATGGACAAAGGATCTGAACCCATCCTCTCCTGCGCCATTCTCATCATCTCTGACACACTTGAGCCCATTGCTGCAGTCATTCTGTGAATCCATCTAATTGAGAGTCTTCCTCTGTGAGGCCAGCCCTCCACCTCCAAGCATGTCTTTCTCCGAGGAATAGACTCTCCTACCTAAACATACCCAAAGTCTTTGAGACAAAGCTTTGCCCCACTTGCCTCCAGGAAGCAGTCTGTCTGCACTTCTCCAGCACAGATCTGTCTGGGGGTTTTGGTAGTCAGTACTCTTCTCCAGCACCACAGCTCAAAGCTATCAGTTATTCTACAGTCCATTAGAATTTGAAATTTTGTTCTGCATATCTCTCCTTTCATCAAGATGGTTCTGTTCAGTGGAATCTTTGCTCAGCCTGAAAGCATCCAGTTCTTCTGGTTTTGCGGCAAAGGAGTCAGTTGTTCATGTGAAAGCCCACGTTCCACTTCCTCCTCTTGTTAGCCACGCTCTCTCTTTGTTGTTATAAGTGAATGGAGACTGACCTCTGTGTCTCGGATGGCTGATTGACAGCTTATAACATGCTTGATACCACGCAGTAAACTAAGATTTAGAACAGAGGCATTAAACATGTCATTAGGCCAGTTAACTGTCATGGCTTATGAAACCATTACCATAAGCCCTGAACCAAGAAACTAAATCCCATAAGATGTGTGTTTGTATATAATTACTTTTTACTGTCATTGTCATAAATGTTTCTATCACAACTTTTGCCTTTTTATAGATGTACAACTGATGACAACAGTTAAAATAATTGAATGTGCAAACCTAACCTTAATTATAGAGTTGTGATTCCACCCCCCCCCCCCCCCCCCCCCCCGTCACTGTTAACATCATAACCCTTCCTCATGTCCCTGATAACCACTAATAAACTTTGGTGTCTAAACATTTTCTTGTGCTTATATCTATATATATCTGTATCAACCTACGTTATACAGATGACACAACCTTGCTTGCTGAAACTGAGGAGGACCTGAATCGCTTACTGCAGAAGGTCAAGGACTGTAGTCTTCATTATGGATTGAAGCTCGGCATCAAGAA